AGAAACTGGATGTGTTTTTTATTTGTCTGGATCAGTTTGTGGTGGATTAACCCTGAAAGTGATTAGCTGATATACTCTAGTCTACCCTATTACTGAAAATGAATTTTATTTCATGTCAATTAAAATACCGAACAAATGTTTTAATGTAGTTTTACTATTTTTTTCAACACACATAATATTATCTGATGACTAAAGAGATGATGTCCTCTAATGTGACCCCTCTGATTAGAAGTATTCTCTTCCAGTTGTTTACCAGCTTGACAGAACATTCTTTATTTCTCACTTCTGAGGTATATTTTTTAAAAAAAACTCCTGCTAATTTAATAAAATGACCTGTATGAAATCACTACATAATTACTTTTATTTCTCACTGAGCTACAGTGAGAAATAAAATCGTAGAATCACAGAATAGCTTGGGTTCGAAGGGACCTTTAAAGTCATCTAGTCCAACTCCCCTGCAATAAGCAGGGACATCTTCAACAAGATCAGGTTGCTCAGAACCCCGTCCAACCTGACCTTGAATGTTCCAGGGATGGGGCATCCACCACGTCTCTGTGCAACCTGTGCCAGTGTTTCACCACCCTCATTATAAAAATTTCTTCTTTTATCTGGTCTAAAGTTATCCTCCTTTAGTTTAAAACTGTTATCCCTTCTCCTGTTGCAACAGGCCCTGATAAAAAGTCTGTCCACGTTTCTTACAAGTACTGAAGGGCCACAACAGGGTCTCCCCAGAGGCAACTCTTCTTCAGGCTGAACAGCCCCAACTCTCTCAGCCTTTCCTCATAGGAGAGGTTCTTCAGCCCTCTGAGCATGTTTGTGGCTTCCTCTGGAGCTGCACCCACAGGTACAGATACTGAACTTCTTTAGGGTTCATTTTATTAATAAAGCTTTTCTTTTCAGTCTGTGGGCAACAGATCACTATCAGCCACTACGGATATTTGCTGGCCATCTTGCTGATGTCACCTGTACCCGATTTCATCCAAATTCCAACTATATTGCCACAGGCTCAGCAGACAGGACTATACGGCTCTGGGATGTTTTGAATGGGAATTGTGTAAGAATATTCACTGGACATAAGGTAAAGCCATATCATTCAGTGTAAAAGAGATTTTATTTCTGTGATGAGATTCTAAACAGTACTGTTTCAAACACAGCGTGACTGACTGAATGTGAGTAGACTTAATTAACTTGTTTGGTTGCCCCTCAATGTCTATTTTAGGGACCAATTCATTCATTGGCATTTTCTCCTAATGGAAGATTCCTGGCTACTGGAGCAACAGATGGAAGAGTTCTGCTATGGGATATCGGACATGGCTTGATGGTTGGCGAATTGAAAGGGCACACTGACACTATCTACGCGCTCAGATTCAGTAGAGATGGGGAGATTTTAGCATCAGGTAAAATTTACCAGAAACAGTGAAGTTTCCATCGTGTTCCATAAGTCTGAACAGGAATGATATAATTGGTTCCTTAAATTGAGAAAGACAAAGAAGAATCACTTGCTTAGCAAAAGCAGCAACTTAAAACTGCTGGTACAAAGGCGAATACTTCACTGAAGTGTGACCCCTCACCCTTCCAGGAACTGAAGGTGTTATGCACTTAGATGATAGTGAAGGTTGTGAATCTGTACAGTGTTGGGGGTGGAATCTGAAGCAATAACCCTAGGGCAGACAAAAAGTGGCTGGACTAGAGAGGTTCAGGATACTGGAATGGGATGGGACTGGGAATGCAGAAGGACTAAAGAAAGAGGAAGGGATAGAAAGGAATATGAGTTATGCACACCCTTACTATTTCTTCATGGTAGATTTTTGATGTAGATATGGGCATATAATATTAATGAACAGGTCTGTGAGCAGCAGAACTTGTGAAGCTTGCTTGTTTTTCCTTCCTGTCCACATGGGTTCTCTGGTGTCTAATATACCAGAGCTCCTTTGCTAGTTTTCCCTTCATGGAGGCACAAAGTTTTGTCTCTCTATGTTCAGTGAACTGTTTTCTTAAAATGTGTAGTTATTTCATGAATTTGAAACTTACTCTGTTTTTTCAACTGCTTGAAATTAGCCAACAAGTTGAAGAAATGATGGACAGACACTAATTACTTGAGGGTAATTTCCTCATGAAACCAGGCTAGGAATATTCTAGATTTGTTTAGTAATATGTTCCTAAATACAGTGCAGTGAGAATCCTCTGGGAGCTACTGCTGCAGGAGTGAAAGCTAACAGACAGGATACAGGTTTGATCCAGCCTGCTTAGTGGTTATTCCAGTTTATCTGCCAGTGTTCCAGTGAAAGCATAGGCCACTTTGCTTGCAAAATTCCACTGTATTCCCTATACCATACAAAGAAACTCTTATTATGTGACTTAAAATCATAAACTTTACCTGCAATTGGCATTGGATCATATCACCTACCACTGAAAAGGAGGACCAGCCCACAGGATGGTCCTGCTTTTTCAGTGGTAGGTGATTTGATCCAAACCCAGGTGTTCTGAGAGCAGTTCTTTTTGTTTTGTCTACAGGACACCCAGCTTAGACTACAGGAAAGCTGAAATCCTCATAACTTTTACGTGTGTATGCAGTATGTTAGATGCTTGCTATAGTCTCTTGCTTTCTGAGCTTTTAGTTCTGTTAACATGCTCCCCAGCAACATGTTTTATATACCCTTTTATTAATAAAATACCTATAAACTGTTGTGTTTTTTTTTCTTTTTAGGTTCAATGGATAACACAGTTCGTCTGTGGGATGCTGTGAAGGCATTTGAAGATTTAGAAACTGATGACTTTACTACAGCCACTGGACACATAAACTTGCCTGAAAACTCACAGGACTTGTTACTGGGTACATACATGACCAAATCAACCCCAGTTGTTCATCTCCATTTCACACGCAGGAACCTGCTGCTGGCTGCAGGAGCCTACAGTTCACAGTAAATTGGGAAGCTGAGATGGACTGTGCCACTGCATTGCAGAACCGACCTCAGGATGTGAGACAAGGAGAAATGTCTTGTACAGAAGGATCCCCACGAGTCTGTTGCAGGGAAAATGAAACTGTAAATTAATGCAGGCAGCGTTTCTCAGTTCTGGTGTTTCATATTTATCTGCAGTTTGAAACTGCTGGAGATTGACAAGACATCGTGGCTGTAAAAGAAGGAACTGTTCGTGGTGCTTTTGAACATATATATGTATATACGAAATGAGCTGTCTCCTCTCAGAGACGGTACTGAGCTCTGCTGAAACTTGTGAAAAGTTAACAGCCTTGATGATTTTTTTAAAGCACTTAATTTATGGTAAGTAAATGTTTCATCAGTCTCAAACACAAGCAAAAACTGTCCAGTTTCAGGAAAGAAGACTGGAGTTTGATTCACTATATCCTGTGCTGGGCAGCAGGTGTGGTGAGAGGATCACAGCAACTACTGGGGCGGAGCCGCTCTGACACTCCGATGCTTGTGGTCATGGAACTGCCGTGAAGTTCTGGGCACGGGTTTTATCAGCCAAGTACTAAGTCCTGAAAAGATTTCAAACTCCTGTGCTCTTCTGCGGTGTCAGAAACAGATCTTGTTACTCTGTTTTTCACAGGTAGCCAGTACTGTCAGTGTGACAAGCAACCAATGTGAACTTTATTTACTTTCATACTTTATTGAATGAGAAAATAAAAAGGGGGACTGCACAACTGAAATACCCACTATTAAAAAAGTGGACTTAAACCCTTTACTTTGTATTAGATCTAAAAGAACTTTAAAAACCTGTGTTCTTTCTACATAAGGTTTAACATAAAAAATGTAAGAAAGCTAAGAAATTGAAACAATATAGCAGAGTGAAAGGATAAGTGTATGATCAGTTTGCTTTTGAAAGTCCAGCTTGTCTGCTTAAGTGACAGTTTCCACCCACAAAAGCATTGTACCACAGTGAGTCCTCCTGAGCAACCAGTAAAGCTCAGTGGTTTATTTCTAAAGAACAGTGAAACGTGCAGAACATTGAGAAGTAGAGTGTCTGATTTTGAACAGAAACTGCCACCACTAAAGGCCAGGCCCAGTGTGATGTGGGTTTGTTCTCATTTTCCATCTCTTACAAGATGTATGCAGGGAAATCTGTTGTGTGTTCCTTATCACTTCCCAGGAAGGGCTTGAACACTTAAACACTGCTGGCTCTCTAGTGAAAATAAAAACAAGACATGTCATTTTTAAGGCCGAGTAAATGGAGAACTACCTCCCCTCATCTCTTGTCTGGCTCTAACTCTTGGAGTAAAGGTATTCTGCAGGCATTATACATCAAAATAAAGTGTGGAAAAGTCACTAGAAAGCTCACCTAGAAATTTTCTTTAAAGAAAAAAGGTTAAAATTAAATTATTATGATTTTATTTGTCTAATGGTACCTCAACAAAATTTCCTAGCTCTCAGTATGACTAGTTGGATTTAAGTACAATTTTTTGACAGCTTAAAGAAAACACTGCCACATTCTGCCTTTGTATTTTGTACAGTTTTATACTTTTGATATTACAATAAATACTAAAACCACATGGCTTGTGCCTATATGTTACACGAAGATACTTTCTTCCCTTGATGGCTGCAATGGAAGCAAGAGCAGTGCTTGTAACTGTGAGCACTCTGCTAAGAGAAACAATCAGAAATGGTTACCTTGATGAGTAGCCATGTCAGGTAAATATTGTTGTAAAGGTGGGTGACAGATTCTAGCTACTTTATTACACTGTTACAATCACCATGATTCAGCCAGAGCATGGAATACAGCTGAAGCCATCTGTGCAGCAAACACACTCATAGGAAAGGAAAATTAGGTTTGTTCAACAGGGCCAGCACGTACAAATGGCTTTAAGAAAAAAAAAAAGCCCTTGAACACTTCCTAGGTTACTGCTGGGAGCTCAGAACACCTTAACTTTGCTGTTGTTGAAACACATCCTAAACAGTAATGATAGGGATCAGCTACTCCATCTCTACTACAAATAATTATTTTTGACAGAAGAAAAAAAAAGAGAAGTGCCACACATAAGGTTTTTTGCACCATTTCATATTTCCAATAAAACAATTATTTATATTTTATTAGCACAACAGGCCATCAGCTTGCGTTACAGTGACACAGATTGGAGGTTCAGACATGCCAGCAACCTGCCAAGAGAACAGAGATCAAACATAGCAAGTCTTGCACGGTGGTAACTGAGAATCCCCCTGCCCCAGGCCCAAACAATTTTAGTTATGAGCAAACAGATTTCAGCACACTCAGGAAGAAGTGACTGATGTCCCCTTAACACACAACAACGATGCTCAAGCTTATCGTGTTATATCCCTTTTTGCAGGCTATGAGGACAGCCCATACCTTGCATTTTGTCATGAAAATGCCATTTCAGTGGAAGTCCTGGATTTGAAAGTGACTCCAAAATTTTGTAACACTGTGTTGTTGCTAAACAAGTCCAGTCACTTCTGCATGGGCCTTGAATAATGAGGGGTGCAACATACACAGTTCCATCATACAGTGCTCCTTTACTTAGTTCAAAGAAAGGTTTTAACAGCATGCATTAATCTCTATTTGGAATTCTAATACAACCAAGAAGTAAGTCCTCAAGTACTACTTTATTATTTCAATAACCTATAAAGCAAGTTATCCGTATTTTACAACAAAAGCACAGACCAGAAGCACCTAATAGTCATAGGCAGACCTCAATGCAACATCCTTCCAGTCCTCCTTCCTTGCTTACTCTTCCTCCCTGCACCCTGCCCCAGTCCCATCTACCATGTCAGAAGAACAAGATGCATACTGGCATGCCATACTTTCTACACTCCCTTTAATAGCTCACTTCATCCAGAATGCCCCCAAATAAGTTGATGCTACAGTTTGAGGTTTAAAATTATAAATACGAAGTTCACATGCCTGTGTTTATCCCTCTCTCACTGCATTGTCTTATTGGCAACTTGTCCTTCATCACTCCTTCCTGAGCTGGCATTGAAGCATTTTGGTCCTGGAACAACATCAGCCACTTACCATTTACTTATCTGCCACAGCAGGAGTTTGCTTCTTAGGCCTAAACTTGAAATACAGGGCGATGAGTGCAACAGCTGTGTACGTTGCTATTACATACTGGAAAACAAAGTTAAATTTAGTTTCAGTCTAAACCCCAGAAAACATCATTATACTAGACTACAAAACTTAATGTACATATACATACATTCCTCCTGCCTATGATGGTATAGGAATTAAAGTACTTCTGAAATCCAGTGAACTGGTGTTGAGATCCCGAGTCATGGCCAGCCATGGCTGCTTGTCCTAAAAAGCAATACAGGACAGTCAATTAATTTAAAGTCAGTTGGACAGGATAGGAAAATCAAATCCATCTCTACACCGAGCTTCGCCATTCCATTGTCAGCTACTAAACCTGCTTTCAGGACACTCAACAAGCAGGGGACACACAAAGGAGCAGGCACATCCAGGGCACTGTATTTTGAGGTACAAAACAGCTGACATGAGCAGATAAGCAAACGAGAGGTTCTGAAAGGAAGAACATTTATGATTTTCAGAGTTCATTTAACCAAGTTTAAACATGAAAAAAGAGCCAGGATGATGATTATAAAAGGGAAAATTCCTGAAAGCACTTATAAAGAAGAGACTTACCAGTCTTGCCTACAACCATTGAACTTAGACAAATTTCTACCAACTGTTCTGGAATCTGCAACACTCAACTAAGATCAATTCTTCACTAGTTCAGCTAAGAAACAGCTTCAATTTCATACTCAAAAACTTGATGACAAGATGCAGGGTAGACCCCTACTCTGTTTTGTGATTCAAAATGCCATTCTGCAACTTTTACACTAAGGTAGATTGCAAGGGTTGTTAACAAGAACTGCTCTGCTCTCAGTTGCGCACTTCTATTGCATCTTAGTTCCCCACCCCAGTATAAAAACATTTTTTTCCCCCAGTTACTTTTCAGATCAGAAAATTACTTAAGCCAGCTACAAAGCCTTTGAAGTGCTTTCACAGAAACACCAGAACCACTAAGAGGAGGGCAGACTTTTGTATTTTATCCGTTGTCTGGACTAAAGTTTCAGATCTGCTCTAAGAAGTTCAGAAACACAAAAGCCTGGTGTGGCTGCAGCAGCAGCAAATTGCAGGTTCCCTGGCACGTTTAGGTTGGCACCTCTGCAGATTGCAGAGTCTACAGCAGGTCACCCAGGAACACATACAGTCAGGCTTTTAGCATCTTCAGAGATGCAGACTCCATAACGGTTCAGGGGAACCTGTTCCAGTGTTTGCTCATCCGTACACTAAGACCAGGGTGGGTTTTTTTAATATTTAGGGATGTGTTTTTCTTAAGAGGATTTTATGTATAGGACAAACATTTGTTGTTTATTTTCTGACTCAGCCCAAGAGCACCACACTTACCCACCAAACCCGGCAGATGCCGCAGTCACCAGTACTCCCGAGGAAGATACAAGAAACCACACAGCCAATGCTGTGCTCACTAAAACAGCCCTTGTGTGTTACCTATCTCTTATCTAACATACTCCAGTAGTGTTACTTCTGGCGTATAACCAGGTAAGGGTAACTCGACTGACTGTGCCATAGCTAAAAACTTTAATAAAACAGCCCCCTAAACGTTTGCCGCACACGACTTGGAAAGACTTTGGAGAGCCAAGGTCATCTTTTCTCGTGCCTGACCGATGTAAAAGCCTGAAAAGGCGCCGCTGCGTCCTTTCGATGGCGAGAAGGCACTACACGGGCCCTATTTCCCGGAGGAGCCGGGTGCCCTTGCCCTGCTGCCCTTACCCCTGACAACGCCGGCTGCTCTGACACACGCGACCCCGCACTTGCCTCGGGCCGGGAAGGGACGCGGCGGCGCCGCGGATACGGAGGGAGGGACAACGCCGGCGAAGGTCGCGGGTGCCCCAGGGAACAGCCGCGGCCCGGCGCTGTGGAGAGCCGCCCTCCCCCCCCGCGGGACCGGACCGGACCGGACCGACCCCTGCCCCGGGCCGCCCCTCGACCCACGGTACCTCGGCCGCTGCCGCCGCCGTGCCCGCCGCCTTCTGCCCTTCGCCTGCGCCCTCCCACAAGATGGCGGCCCCGGAGCGGCGCGCGCAGCCGCCTCGCCCCGCGCCGATTGGCTGCAGCTCGCGCGGGGAGCGGGTCGTCTCCGCCCCCTTTTTCCTGAGGGGCAGTGACGTCACTTCCGACCGACCTTTGACCTTCACCCCGTGCGTTGCTTCCGCCCGGCGCGTCGCGTGCGCCTCACGATCCCGGCGCCGATCCCGCTCCTCTCGCCCGGGCTTCCCCACGGGAGCGACCCGGGACAGGTAAGAGTGTCAGCCCTGCCCGCTCCAGTGGGACTCTGCTGCCGGCCGTGAGGAGCTGTCTGTGTTGCTTGGCGAGCCCTTAGGTGAAGCTTGCCTTGATGAACTTTAGTTTTGTCATGTGTTTTCACGTTTACAGGAGTTTTATATGTCCTACAGACAGCATAGTGTTTCAGCGCTGATTTCTGTAGAAGTACTGTTGGCTAATAATAATGGTATAAATAATAGCATGAGCATAATAATAATAACAATATAAGTAATAAATAAGAATAGCTGCAACTAATACTACTTACTGTTATTTATTAGTAGTAATAACGTGTTCATTGTGACCTCATAAATAAGATGTTGTTTACGGATTGAAACAATAAGGTTAAACATCCATTGTGTACCTCTGTGCATATACTTGCAGCTTGCACAAAGAGGTATCAAATTATATTAACCTTTATGAGTAGTATCCAAAAAGTAAAAATGCAGACCAAGTTTAAGTAGTGTTTTGCTCACAGCTTTCTTCTTGATGACTGAACCTAGTAATTTCAACTTGTGCACTGAATATAATAAATATTGGTTTAGGAAATTTATGGGTAAAGCAGACTTATGAATACATATTCAGTGTGTCTAAATGCTTTAGAAATGAATACTTTAATACTTCAGTCTAGTAGAATTGGACAATAATAAGAAATGTTAGGGATGTGCATATTGAGATGGACTACTGCAATACTTCAGTTTAGTCAAATGTTAAATACATTTGGATGAGAGTTGCTGTTTTGTCACTGACTACCTATAGAGCAGCCATCCCAAATCTTTCTTTGTTTAGGGATAGTGCACTCTTATGTCTCTTCGGTGTTTGTGAGGAACAAGTGTAACAACTGTACATTTCACCTGTGTTTTACCATTTGTCCCATAGCAGTGCAAGCATGGCGTCTTTGGAAGAAAACTTTCCTCGAGGGGGTATCCAGAAAAAACCTGCAGAGGGAAAAGCATCCAAGCCAAAATTAGAGCAGGACAATTTGTTTGATGTACGTTGTTTGCATGTTCTTGGTTAACTTCTCAGAGCTCTTCTGCTGTCAGAATTTGACCTGCAGTCCTTCCTACCTGTTATTTCTACAGTAAACTATAGAAGGCACTCCCAGGAATAGATTACTGCTGACATTCACCTTTCTCCTAATCTCTTTAAGATCTCTAATGTCTGATGGATGTTGAATGTGATGACAGAGAAATTTCAGTCAAAATTGTCGATCAGGCTTTAGCTTTTAAACTTACCACAAGTATCTTATCCCAAAGTGCTGTGTAGCAAGGCTGACGTTACTGGATATAGGCTAAATTTGGTCTTTCTGTTAGAGTGTAGTGCAGATCATTTGTTTCCATTCCCAAGATTCATAAATTTATAAATAATGAACCTCAGTCTAAAGAAGATACTTTGTAAGACTTGCATGTAGACAGACATATAGCAGTAAGCAAGGCGGTTCTCTTTTTTCCTCTAGTCCTAGTATTTTCTTCTGATTTTATTCATGGCAGCAGAGTTCTGCCTTAATGCAAAGTTTATATCTTTATCCGCTTTTATTTTTTCCCTCTCTGCTTATAAACTGCTAGGTTCACCATGAAGAAAAGTCCCAGAAAAGAAAAAGGAGCCAAAAGGATCAAGGAAAGCAGAAAAAGTTCAAGGCAGACAAAACAGCCGCTGCTAAAGACAATGTTGTGGATATTGGACCACTCACAATTCAGGTTGATGCATAAGTTTTTGAATTTGTGTGTATCTCTTTTCCGGGCTGCATAAAAATGGCATTTTCTTCCTCCCTAAACCTGTAAAATGTATCAGTGATTCCGTACAAAACCGTGTTTATCGCCCTGTTATCAGTGGCTTGCCAAGATGTCCATAGTGTGCTATTCTTTCTGCTTTCCCAGGCGCTGTGTGAGGACATGCTTCTCCTTGGGTGTATAAAGGAGGTCAGTGACTATGAGCTGGTCATCAGTTTACCCAATGGTCTTTTGGGATTTGTGCCGATCACGCAGATCAGCGATGCCTACAGCAAACTGCTGAGCCAGCAGGTGGCCCAAGGAGAACTCCCAGAGGTAAGACCTTGGGCTGGGGCTGTGATCTGTGCCCGGAACTAAGGAGTGTTAATACCTCAGAACCAACCCTGAGGTCTTGCTCAGGAGTCTGATGTCTGATCACCAGTCTCACAGCTGACTTGATTTTGATCACCTGCAGCCCTTAGCCTTGGCTAAATAATCCTTGAGCTTTGTAAACAGCCTGTTGAACATAAAGAGATTTTTTGTTACCTCTCTGCTGCTGAAGCTAAATACTGATCCCTGGCTGTAGGCAACAATGGGAAGAAGTTAGGGAGTTGATTGGAAAATGATGTGAGGGTGGAAGCATTTCTCAGGGGCCCGGGGAAGAACACGGTCCTTGCAGTTTAGCTGTCTCTTGGCACGTGCCATGTGCTGCTGCGTGGTGCTAACATAGGCTGACCTTGTTTTGGAACCTGCTTTTCCAAGCTGACTTTGCAGTGATCCTGATAAAGGCTGATTGCTAGAAAGAAAGAGCATGGCGTAATCTGTTACCCTGTCTCTGGTGTCAGCAGTCCATAAGTTTTCCCAAGGTGTTGTGGATGTGGGATCTGCACTACCCCTTTGGTGGTGGTGTTTTTCTCTGCTAAAGAAGGAGGTGAGAGTAGGGTCACTGTAAGCCTTGGAGATGTTTCCTCAGCTGCAGTCTCCTAAACTCCAGTGTTCGTTTTTAAGCAAAGCCTGTCAGTCTTGCTGACATAACACAGTGTCATCCCTGACTCTGTTGAGATCCTGCCATTTGTGGCATTTCCTGCTTTTTATTGTAGTGTTGACAGAGAAACAGGACTTTCCTAATGGATTTTGTTTTCAAAAGTTACTTCAGTAATGAATTCTGGCCTTCTTATATTATTTGATATTGTAAAATTTGTATGTTTCTCTCTTGATCATCTTGCTGGGCAGGGCTTGAATTCGCTCTCGGACATGTATTCTCCAGGGACACTGGTCAGGTGCATCGTGACCAGCGTTGAGAAAAGTGATGATGGACGTCGCAGCATCAAATTATCGATTGACCCCAAGAAGGTCAATAAGGGCCTGAATGCCTTGGCACTAGCAACAGGCATGGTATGTTTTCTGGGTCTGTCACAGCCCCTCTAGGCACTTGCACGGTTTGTGGAGAACATTTTAGTTTTTGGTTGCACGGGATCAGAGCAGCATGTGGAGCTGCTCCCACTGTGGAAGAGACCTGGAGGGGAGAGGGTGGTATTGGTTCTTGTCTTCAAGTTGTCACTCATGAAATCCGTTCACCAGATTCTGTTTCAGTATGGACAAGTTATTTAATTATTTCTTCCTGAGTAGATTTCTTTGTTATTTTTGCGGAGAGTAATATACAACGTGCCTTGCAGAGGTGCTTGGTTGTTTAGGTTTTGTGTTTGTACCTGTATGACTGTAGGCATGTGCCTGCAATTAGAGCACCTGCTATTTTTGAGCATCACAGTTTTTTTCCTACTGGTTTGTGAGCTCCATACATGCATAGTTGGATAAGGGTAGAGTTGAGATCTCACTGCCAGATGAGCTGTGTAGTAAGAAAGAATGTAGTGTTCTTTCTGCAGCTCTGGAAAACTTAGTTCTCTGTCCATATAAAAGAAGTAAGTACTTGGATGGGGAATCTCTTACCAGATGTGCATTCTTTAAAGACTCAGCTGTTTTGTCATGTTACTGAGTTGCAGTGCTTCCCTCCCAACAGCTGCTCTCTGGCTCTGTATCTAGTGTGGAAGACCATGGCTACCTCATAGATATTGGAGTCAGTGGGACTCATGCTTTCCTGCCTCATGAGAAAGCCAAAAATTACATCAAAGCACTCAAGAGAGGTAAGAAGAAGTGCAGGAGGATCTGTTGGGGTTAAAATGGAGGTGGAGAATGACAGGGATTAAAGCGTGTTACATCTGTAGTGTTAGTGCACCTTGGTGGGATTGGGTCAAGGTGGAGTCTTTGCAGATTGCTGAAAATAGCAGTTTTGTGACTGGTCTGCAACAAGCCTTTGTGGTTCAGTCTGGGTTCTGACAGACAACATTACTGTTCCAAGCCCATCCAACCCTGCTGGCAGTAAACTTCACTTAGGTTGAGAGGAGTTATAACCTCTTCAAATAGAGGGAACTCTGAAAAAGCATTGGAAAGAGTGGAGGGGAATCCCTGAGTGTTCCTGGTGGAGGTTTTATGGTGTGACTTGTCTTTGTAGGGCCTGACTTGAAAATAGGCCAGAACCTGACCTGTGTCATCGTGGAAGTGAAGAACGAGGGCAGAGTGGTCTGTTTGTCCATTGATCGGTCAGAGGTTGCTGCATCCCTTGCCACAGAGAAACAGAACTGGGCACTCTCTAACTTACTGCCAGGGCTGGTGGTGAAAGCTCGAGTGCAGAAGGTAAGCTCTGGTTTGGGTTTCTTTTGTTGAATGTGTTTCTTTTGAGCCTTGTTGAAGGCAGGAGACAGGCGAAACAGAGACAGAAGTTTATGGTGTGGAACATTTCTGTTTGGGCTCTTAACATTAGCTGACATTATTATCTGCTAGACACTCCCTCCACCACATTCACCTGAGGCCTGATCTCTGTTCTGGTTGTGATGCCATAAGTATAAAGGCTTCAGCCTGAAGTTGTTCTGCTTGAAGCAGAACAGGATTCTTTTTGTGCTTCTCTGGCCTTTTCCTAGGTAAAGTATTCAACTGGGTAGCAGTAGTCTTCAGGGTATACGCAGCATTATCAAAAAATTAAAGGATTGTTTTTGCAACACAGTGTACAAAGCAGAATTTTTAGCAGTTTTCCTGTCTCTTA